TAATGTAATATTTTTTTATGTGTGCACATTTAATATAGCAAATAAGTTGCGCAAATAGCAAAATGTATCTTTTTTAAATATTTCTATTGACATATTGGAGGTGGTACTAAAGTTTTTCAGTTTTTGTTTAGATGGTACGCGCTAGTCAAAAGGCTGAGAGCCGCTGCTGTAGTCCATTCAGGTTCAGGATATTGTTCATATTAACATATATAATGTGTTTAATTTTAATATTGCATCAGGAATGTTCTTCTTTCCCAATTGACCGAGATATTTAATTTCAAAATTTGCCGTATTTGACATCATTTAAAATTTGAATTCAGGGGTCGATTAAAAATAAATTAGAATAATACGAGATTGAATTTTATCCCCTTAAGTTCCATTCAATAATATTGTTTTATGATTTACTAGCTTCTTTATTTATAATTCTGTTACATTTTTCTTAAAGTTTAAAAATACGTTATTAATATATTCATGAAATTTTATTACTAGCTAGTAATCATACAAATAATTCATTAAAGTTCAAATATTTTTCATTTTAAGGAAAATAATTTTATGAGTTGGCTGTGTGCCAATCCAGAAGCCTGCCAGTGTTTTCTAGAATACGAATTCTATCAGATTCAGTGAATAAGATGTCCATTTTGAAAAATAAATAAATCTGAAAGGTTTCAGATTTTAAATTACGCCCAAAATGAGCGTTTTTTTAAGCGTTTTGTGTGTTACCTTTCTTTATTAAATATCATGTTCTACGTACTCAAACCATAAAATTCAGTTCAACAGCAATATTGCAAAATAATTTTTAAATGAGCATATCTTTAGAATTTCCGATACAGAGTCTCGCGCGCTGGAGTTTTTTTTTTTTTTTTTTTTTTTTTTTTTTTTTCCCGTACAGTGTTGCCATTGCTCGCTTTGAAATTGTTTAGTTTGTTAATCAAAATTCGTTGAAGTGTTACAAAATATGAAATCGATAATAAAACAAATTTCAAATTCAAATTAGGATTTCCACATGCCCATATTCTATGGCAGATTACGTTATTCAAATTTTGATGGCTCTAGCTATCGTTGTTTTATCACAGTGCGAGAAACGTACATACATTCATGCAGTTTCTTCATTATTTAATATCTTTAAATATAATAAAGGCCGATAATATTTGCTGACAACCATTTGAAAAGTGAAACAACGCTTATCGTGAATCGAACGCATAATGCCAAAACAAAATTAAGTTAAATTCCTTCTGCGCAAATTACCCCTTTGGACTTTTTTCTCAATATTCTGCATAGAAAAGCTCGTTATGTAATCGCTTAATATCAGAAAACTTTTCCGCTTTTCAATCAGTGTTAGGCAGTGAATTTGCTTTCCGATTTCATATCAAATATCTGGGTCAATTTTTGTAGTACGGAAGACAAAAGTGCGTTTTATTTTATATAACAAGCACAAAAGTTTCCTAAATATAAGTATAGGGCACCAGACAAGCGTTAAAAACGTAGATTTCGTAATTTTTATGAAATTAATCTCTTTGAATTTTGCACTATAAGGGTTTGGCTTAAGGCAATTTTCATGTATCCTATTAATTCTAACAAGATTTATAGACGCATGATTAATCCATATCTGTCAACCTTCACAGATGTTTTGCAGTTTTTACGAAAACTGCTTCAGTTTTCAGATCTTAAGCACGAAATTAACATTTCACGAATTTTGCAAAGGCGCCAAAAAGTGCACTAGTTTGGTGGTTTGTCACCAGATTTGTATTCATATTTTTGTGCATTTCTTGACAGGTATTCAGATAATCATTTAGTTCTTTTTTCTGAATGAACATGGATTTTGTTTTTTACTGTGCGTTGCCAAATTTGGCGATTTATCAACATTTAGGCGATTTTAAGTTTAGTTTGTGTACAGAAACTTGAATTATGTACAGAATTCGTGTACGGAATTTTTAGATCAATTTGTGTACAGAAGATTTGTGTATTTCATTAAGATTGCTTTGACAAATATAATAACGCTATCATAATATTATTAAAATAGCGACAAAAGATCATCACAAATTTGCCTTTTATTTTGGCGGTCTTTGAATATCTTCATTTTGAAATATAAACGAAATAACAAATGTTACAGAATTTCTGATTATATTTTAGCAAAAGCAAAATAGCTAGTGTAATTATCCTAGAATGATTTCATTTATTTAATCTTACGTGATAAGTGTTTTTCCATGCGCAGTTTTTTGAAAATATATGTTAGCTATATTTTAGCTTTCTCTGCAAAATGCATTTTAAAATTTTCTTTCTTTCTTTTATTATTATTATTATTATTATTATTATTATTATTATTATTATTATTATTATTAGCTGATTTTTATTCTTACAAAGTAGAAAAGTAGACAGGTATTTTAATGTCTAAAATCCATAAAATGTCCGTGACAAAATGATAAGTATGTTAATGGTATTATCGCAAAATGCGTTAATACCATTAACATACTTATCATTTTGCTTTATATTAATAATAATAATGAGATACATTTCTCATACTGCTTGAAGAATTTTGGGGAAAAGCAGTAAAAACAAAGTTTTCTGAATTCTCTGTGGTATTTCTTTATTATTACAGCGCCCCATTATTTGAACAGCACAAGGAGCTCTATTATTATAGTCTGTCAAAACTGCAACTCTATTCAGAACTCTTCTCGTGATGGGTGGACTACAAGTGAGTATAGTTAGGACTTCCAGCCGTTTGGTAACGATTTGCGAAGGGCTACTTGTTGTTACTTTGTCGCAATTTATTAACAAGAGGGCTCTTGCCTTCTTTTAATTGAGGAGTCCTAATAATAAAAAAAAGTACCTTTTATTTCTCTTGATCCCAAATGTCTTTATCGTGATATTTGTTTATTTACTTTATTTTCTCTTCTATTCTATTATAAAATTTCAAAAAAATTTCTAATCTTGTCATATGGGCGGACATCAAGAGAAATGAATTTCTGCGTTAGAAAATAAATGTATTAAAAATTGACAATTTAAAAGGTACGTTTTATACCAAGAGAAAAGAGAAACAAGCCAAAGTAAAACTTAAAAACAGGCAAAACAACTGTGTGTTTATATTCGAAGCTGTACCGATTTCGAAGGCGAATAGGTACAGGTTCCTCTTCGTGAGGAGCAACAAAATTCTGCAAAGGAGGGAGGAGCCACGACGTATTTATACCAATAAATAAATACATTTTATATATGTGAACGCATATTATAATCATGTTGTAAATTTTTCAGAGTCATTCTGAATACTGAAATTACTTAAGAAATGAGATTAACAATTTCTTCTGCATGTTCTAAATACATGACTACATGTAGTTTTTCGGAACAACAAAAGTTTTTTTTAATATTTATATATAATTGATTATTTATATAAAATCTTAAAATTCAAAAGTGGGAAAAATTGTTTGTATAAAGCAAAAGGAAATTCTTTTTCAAAAGGATAAAATTATGCTTTAGCAAGGGATGTAGACAATAACAGGAACATTCACTTCTTTATTAAAAACAAAGGAGCTTATAAAAATAGTTACAGAGAAAGAAATAGTTAAAAATAAGTTAAAATATCTGGAAAATTTTTACAATAAAAAAAACATAAATATCTTGTAGTCTTAACGGATGTTTTGTAGCTTTTAATGTAGTATAACTATTCTAATGTTGTTTAAACCAATGTAATAAATCATATATGCAATTATGTGTACTTTAAACTGTAAAATTTCATTAGATTGTGATTTTAATTGCATTTAAAAAATATTTTAATAGTGACAGTATAAATCTTTGAAATATGTGTGGCATTATAAGCGTTCAAGGAATTATATTCGTAATTTAATATAAACTGCTTGAAAACTTTTAAGGACCTGGTTTTATTCTCAAGGTTATTTTTGCTAAACTTCTTTTGAGTTAGATATTAGATAATGATTAAAAATAATGTATCCCACTTTCTTCTGTTTTATTCTTAGACTAATACTGCAAGTGTTAAGGCTGTTGTATAGATAATTGATTTAATTTTTTCACTTGTGTGTGCTTAAAGGTTCTTTTTTTTTTTTTTTTTTTTTTTTTTTTTTTTTTTCTGCTGGTGCTTTTTAAAAGTCATTAAAATTTTCATTTAAAGAAATGCATGCCAACCCTTCAAAAATCAATTTAAGAAGTGTGTTTATGGCATGAACATGACATGTTTCTTTTAGCCAATTTTAGAAATATGTGTAACACAGCTTATTTCAAAATAGCAAATAATATGCTCTTCAAATTATCTCTGTCAAATTTTTTCAAACAGAAGATTTCTGAAAGCGAAAGAATACAGAATCGATTTCATTCAAAAAAATTAAAAATAACATTTTTCAATACATTTTCCAGTCAAATTGAATTCCAATCAAAACTCTTTGGGACGATTCCATTGGCTTTCATATTCGAAACAATGTGCTCGCTCATGTGTGCATGTAATACATTTTCAAACATATTATTTTACTAAAATCACTCAATTTGAGCTATTTCTCTTGTGGTATCAGCTTTCAAAGCTCAGTTCCTGTTCATGTGTTTAAAGAAAACAAGATCATGCTGCATGTCACCTAATTTCTTTCCAGCTGCATAAAGTCTTGCCACACTGAAATATGACACATCATCTTAATGATCTCGTAAATAACATCAGGGAATATTAAGTAATTAACGTTATAAGGTATTTCGCGTATTCCAGAAATCTGTGTTTCGATTCCCGGCGAAGGCGTTGCTCATTTTTCATTTCTCCTACTTTAAAAAAAAAAAAAAAAAACTTGTCTCCACCAAGTAATAAAAGAAATTTTCTTTGTTCCGAGCTATAAGCATCGCTGATAGTAATGTATTGATCTTACTGTTTTAATAAGCAAGTTAATTGCTATAAAAATTGAATTTACCGCATGAAAGAAATTGTATTTTGTATTTTGTACGTATCCATCAGCGTAAATATTAGAAGTTTTAAACATTATTTATTACTTTCAAATAAATATAATACTTTATTCTAGGTATGAGACTGAAGAAGTGAGTGTTCTGTATACGTGGCAAGACGGACGCTGTAGTTCTGAATTCCTGGAGTCTTTACCCAAGCCAGATTCACATCTACGACTGAGCACAGGACATGGTTGTGCCACTCTCTTTTGGCTGTCAAGAAATAAACCTGATTTGATCGCACAATATGATACCGCTGGAACGGTGCAGGACTTGGTTGTGGCCATGATCTGTGGTTTAGAGCGCCCTGTTATGTCTGCCCAAAACGCTGCTGGATGGGGCTATTTCGATACTGAGACTCGAACCTGGAACATCGAAAAGTAAGTCTACATCATTCAATAGCAAGTATCAAGTTTATAATTAATCAGTAAATTTGATAGCTGGCTGTAACCTTTTTGCACAGTACTGGAAAGTCTTGTGGAAAGTATTGCACAGTTTTTGATTACTAACAAAAATATATTTATATTAAAAAAAAAAGTTGTTTGGACAAATGAGAAAGTCAATTTTTTTAAAATGTTTTGTAAGAAATTAAAATTTATGCTGAACATGTACGAGCCGGATTTCTTCGGCATCTAATGATAAAATCATATTTTGTGAATTAAAATAAGTATATTCTAGAAAGTATTACATTATGCCATTAATAAGGACCTGGAAAGAAGCAAATTCATGATTAAACCTAATCAAAACTCGGTGGTAATAAATATCTTAATTCGGTAATTAAACACGGAAGAGTATTATGGTTTTTATTTATGTATCAGTAGGCAGTTTCTCATTTGTATAGTTTTTCATCCGACTTCTTTTCAGAAAAACTCGGTGCTTAGAATTCAAGTCCTATTTAATTTACGTACAGTATTTGTTTATTCATGCGCTATCTCATTATCAAAAAGTTATTTTGATTTTGTGTTGGAGTGATGCATTTCAAATTGGAAAAATACCGATCTTAATATTAATAGTCTTCTGGAATTTGGCTGGCATCTGAAAGATCAAACTGTAGTTTTTTTTTAATTGTAACTATCGATGACCTTATGACGATTATTTCAGTTAGACATATTTCTTAAGGTACATGATGAACCATTTAAAATGAATATACATTTATATTTTATATTACATTGCAGCTGAATTATGTTGCTGAGTGGCAGGTTAAAATTCTAACCATCATATTATCTAATAATTAAGGCCAATCTACGGTATTCAACCTGTTAAACATACTGCTGACATGGTTATCAGACCGGGTTTTCATAAGCCAAATTTTGGAAATCTGTACTTTTTCAGTTCGTTTAATAATGAAAAGCACCCTCCCCCCCACCATGTTTTTTTTTTGTAAAACCCCTATATAACTACCTAGAATTCCTTCTCTACTTTTATAGGTAAAAATTATTTTATTCTGAAATGAAGTATTTACAATTTTGTAACGTTTTCAGATAGTCATCTAAGGCAATCACATTCACAGAAAATTAAATTTTGCGTGGAATAGCGGTGTTGGTCTGAGAGAAGTTTCACATATTTGGAATGTGGTTCGCAGTCACACAGATAAATTTTGAAATATGCAGCTAAAACAATTTTTATTTTGCAGCGAGAATCCCGGCTTAACGACTGCTTTAAAACAAATGTTGTAAGAGTTTCATATTTTTAAAAATGACAGACGCATCTGTTAGAAGTTATCGCAGATTTCATTCTCTTACCTAGAATCTAAGTAAAGCGTTACCTAAGAATCTAGGTAAAGCATTACTTAAGTCTGAAGCTTTTAAATGTGTTGATAATATGGAAAATACATTTAAATTTGCTTGGTTTAACTTGGGCTTTTTAACTCTTGACGAAATAGGTACTATTGTTCTCACTGTGCGAATAAAATCGCGACTATTTTCAGAAAGGGAAAAAAAAATCGCGTTGTGTTAAAACAGCAAGTTGCAGCCATAAAAGAAGTTAGAAGAGGGAAGTATAACTAGTTCCTTTAAACATTAGTTAAAATTGAAGTCGTATGATCGACTGTGACCGTGTTACTCAGCTCAAAACATTTCACGGAACGAAGGAAACGTATTAGCTTAAAAGGTTTAGTAAAAGATTTATAAATAATAAACTACAGAATTTATAGTCATGTATAAAAGAATTTTTAGCATTAGATTTCTTAACTCTTGCGTTTAAAATTAAGTGTATTTTCTTCTTTATAATTGCATTTCATCTTTTAAATTTCTGTCATCAATGAAAGGACTTCCATAATGAACAAATTAAAGGTCTTCCTGATTGATATTTTTCTTAGCATAATCAAAATACTGTCAATCTAATCTGTATGATTTCATGCTAGTTGACATTTCGATTGTAGAGTCATTAGGACGTTTCGGAAGCAGGAGATATGAAAAATGAGCAATGCCCACGCCGGGACTCGAACCACGGAACTGTCAAATTGCGTCGAGCGTGCTGACCACTACACCACGAAGGCATTCTAAGAAGGCGGGAGAAATACCTTATACGACACAGTCATGTTGATAGGCTTTGAAATCTTTCATCACATGCACGGGTACTTATAAAATTTCTCATTATAAAAGAAAAAAAAGAAAAAAAAAAGGCTTCACAAATTACAGCTTAAATTTTTTTGTGAGTTGCAAGGAAAACAGTTTGTAATGTTATTCGGTCGTTAAGCTGTTAAGATGAAAACTTACAAAAAAAAAAAAAAAAAAAAAAAGAGAGAGAGAGAGAGAGAGATTTTTGTAGTATTAAAATTGTCAGAATACGTATTACTGCTGCTTGGACTGAGATAAGAATTTTAACCTGGCAACTTTGATTGTTAAAAAAAATTTATATTTCCTTGTGAAGAAGAAGCGAAACGATGGGTAAGGCCGGGTAAAGCTATCATCTTTTCAGAATAAAGCACAGTTCCGTTGAATGAGTTGTGTCGAGTGGTAAAAGGCCACTTCCTGTATTTTTACATGAGCATGAACAAAGAGAAGCATCGATTGAAGAAACAAAATAGGAAAAAGCAAATAAAACAGTATGTTCGATCGAGGTGTCGATTCTCTGGACTCTTTTCGCCATCTCAGCACGTGGAGCGATCAGACTGACAGTGACAAATGATAGATAACATTGTAAAGGAAGTGCCACTTAATTTAGTTGAGGAAAACTCGAAGCATGTGGGGTTGAGATGTCGCACTTCTTTATGCCTTGTATTCGGTACTTTTTTCTCTTCTATTCGATATTTTTGTATGTGTCAGCAAGTTTGTAAATTTTTCTAGCTTGAATGCAAAAATTCGTGGATAAACGTAAGAATGGGACAGCTGCTGCATGATAGCACATGTTGTTCTTCAGTGCGAACTACAGTTAAAAGGTCTTTTGCAGCAAGAGACCTATTTTCATTACTGCAAACCATGAATTATAGCACAGTTCCCCCTTTTACGCGTCTTTTATAGGATCAGTTTGCGACACGTTTGGGCGCATTGTGGAGAATATGACCGGAAACGCCTGGCAACAAATCACAAACGTTATATACGAAATTCCTTGCAACCATCCAGTCGTTCTTCCTCTAGTAAATACCTGTTATTTATTTCTTTAATCTCTCTGACTTCTGTTAATTTTCTGTTCCTGCATTTACAATCATATTATTTTTCTATCTGTGATTCAGTCCATACCTTTCTTTATTTCAAAATTCGAATATGACGCGTATTTTATTCATCATTTACCTGTACGTAAAATAATTATGTCATCATTTAATGAAAAGTTAATTTTTATCGTGCAAAATTAAAGCAAAGTGAATTAATCTGCGCATTTTAACAGTAAAACAGTTTGCGGTACAACAGTTCTCGATAGCAAAATTTTCTGTTCATTTTCTGAAAAATGTAACAATAAATGTCAAATTAAAACATTCGTTACTTGAAATTAAAATGTCTGTGTGTTTAAAATAAATAAATAGATGAGCATGTATAAATGGTTTCTTTGAATTTTTTTTAAACATATTTTTTTTATCCTAACATCGGTTATCTGCATTATATTGCATTATAATATCCTTACCTTAATATATCCTTACCTTATAATCCATACCTTTTATTACTTACCTTATTATTGCATTTCTGTATACTAATTACTACTATGGTAATTACCTTACCATATTATTGCATTTCTGTATACTAATACAAGGAATTGTCGACAAATAAAATCACGTGAATATTTTGTGTTTTTGTTTTTTTAATATATATACATAGATATATATGTATATATATGAGGTAGCTTACACTTTATTTTACTTACATTTTAACTTTTAAATTCCAATCAAGTTAAGCATTCATCTTTAGATTTTTCTTTCTTAGTTTTTCATACATTCTATGTTTTTACATCTTATATTGCAATTGGATATTTACTATGTGTTTATACTTGTTTGCATAGGGACAAAGTATTACTTTACACGTAGGCTATAGCTTAAAGAATTACTTTTTAATTTTATTTTCAAATTTTGCAGCTCCATGCGCAAAATTTTTGACCTCACGGTCCTTTTTGTTTAGTTCATAAGCTTTTCTTACATTATATATATATATATCTACAACATTTATATATATATATATATATACATGGTAAGAAAAACTGCTTACTTTTATATAATTGGATTTAACTTTTATTTCTGAGGACTTTTTACATTCGACGTGAATTTAATATTCATTCTTGAAATCTTCGGATTATTCTTTTGAAAGTATTATGCCACTTCTCGGATAAAGAATTTTCTGATTTTCATAGGGATTATGAAACAAATATAATAAAAATTATTCAATAATTTATTTTACATCTTCATGTGATTTAGTTATTCACCAGAAAAGAGTTTTTGCAAAAATTTTTCATTTTTTAATCAGTTTATGCATGTATTTGAAGGCACTCAACAAGACAGACTATCATAAAGCAAAACATCTAATCAGTAGTTTACATTTGAACATTACTTGTTTAAGAAATTTCCGAATGTACATGTAGATCTAAGCAGCAAGTACTGCAATCTAAATTCAGAGAATTCAACCACAGTTATAATTCTACACAAAATTCAAATTATTGCCTTTTATTGAAGAAAATTCATATCACTCCCAAAAAGTTTCACGAATTGGAATTTTTTAATTATTGTTTTATGTGTGCCACGTTTTAAAGTTCATCTTTCTACTGCATTTCTGGAATGCAAATTTTGGCTAGGCTATCATCGTGTAGGTTTTAGTGCGGATTATCGCCTGTATAGAACTAACTTAATTTTTTTAATGTTATAATGAATCAAAAATAAATAAAACTGAAGGCATTTCTTGATAAACTTATAAAGAATTCAAAATACCATAAACATATCATAAAACTTAAACTTTGCAAA